AATTCAGTATTCCGGACCACTGGGTGGAGCTAAGGCTTATACGCAAAGGGCTCATTTCCCTAGATTATGTCCTGAAACGAGACACTGTTTAGGTGGAACTGAGGGGGTTCAGAACGAGTATCCCCAAAATGTGCATTTCTGGCTTGTGGATTAATTTGAGCTAAAGTCAGTCAAAGCCTGAAAAGGCTGAAGAAGAGCTTTTATCTTCCCTTTAGCTGCCTAAAGTAATTTAGATAGAGGGCCTAGTCCAGCAGGAGAACTGTCATCAGAGATAACTACAAAGAAGATGAACTAAGTATGGTAGCTATGGGAAGCTCGATAGGGCCTGTCTGTTCAGATTCCTTTCTGGCTCCATTGTCTCTGCATGCCATGGCAACCATTTGCTTACCAAACGTTTGCTCTTCCCATCTTCCTGTAAATTATCTTCCTCCCCTTTGAAGTCTCAGACCCCAGGCCCCTTCCCCATAGCTCAGGATGGCATATAACCCTCAATCGCCTGACCACCTGTGAGTCTCATATTCTTATGGGGCTGTTGTACGTATGTAAATAGATTTGTTTTTTGCTGTTAGTGTGTTTCATATCAATGTAATTAATAGACCCACCAAAAAAACCTAAAAGGGTAAAGGAAAAATTCTTCCTCCTCTACAGAACACAGCGGAGCTGACTCTGGGCAGGAAAAACATGTGACAATCCCACCAATAAGATCAGGACAGAAAAGCAATTCCCAAGTCCCATCCTGTATGGGGTAAGATTAAGCACACAGGCTTTAGAGCAACTAACCTGTGTTCAAAACCTGGTTCTGCAGCTCACAAACAAAGCAAACCTAAGTAGGTTCCTCATCTTCTCTGTGCCTCAAGTTCTTATCTATAAAATGGGTATAATAGTAGTTCTTACTTTACAGAATTATGGTGAGAATTAACTGACATAATGCATGTTAAGTACTTAGAAGAGTACCGGGCACATAGTCAGTGATCAGTAAGGGTTAGCTATTATGATGGACAAAAGGGGATGCTAGCACCTATCCTGCCTACTTCTCAAGACAAACCAATTCTCTCAGAGGCTTGAGGGCTCAAGCTTCTGGGTCAGCACCCATCCATCCCCTAGGCTTCCCATCTCACTCAAATACTGAAGTCAGACACTGTTGCTGGGTTCCCTAGTCAATTAGTGGGCATTTTCTTCTAGATACAGGAAGAAACCATTATCTAGGCAGGCTTTGTTGAGGGACTGACCACCTAATTTTAACTCTTCACGTCTTCAAACATCCCTCCCCATCCCCACCCCCGACAACCCTATGAGCCCCAGTCTGGTTTCTTTGAAGGACTCTGTAGTTGAGAGAAAAGGAAATCAAAGCCTTTCACAGTCATGCAGCTCCAAGCAACTTCTGGTAGCCTGCATCTCTTATCTGTAATCCAGAAATCAGCCCACATCTTCTCCAGTTCTCCAGTCCATAAAAGATCAATTCCCTCTTCACAGCAGTCCTCAGCACAGTGGACATCTGCAATATTGTGATTTATAAGATACATATACATATACATATACACATACATATACATATACATATTTTTTTTTTTCATTCTCCGGATGACCAAAATACAGTCTCATATATATTTGGTCTTCACCCACCATTCTTGGCTCACACTTCCTAAAACCCTTGGAGGTTCCTGAACAATAGAGCTATGGGAGCATCTTCTGTGATATTTGGTCTCTGTCCTCAGTTCCTGAAAATGCTTCAGAGCCATGAAGGTGAACTGGGTGTCTTGTTATTCATAATAAGCTCCTTTCCACCACACCTGCGTTTGTTGAGGAAGGTGGCTTTTGGAAAGCATGTAAGGATGGGGACTGTTGCCAGGGAAAAAAACTTTCAGTCCCACCCCCTGATTTCTGGGAAAGGGAGAGGGGCTAGAGTTTGAATCAATCCCCAGTGGTCAATGAGTTAATCAACTCATGGTTGATTAATTAATTAATTTGGAATTAATTAATTAATTAATTAATCAACCATGGCTATGTAAGGAAGCCTCCATAAAAATCCCAAAGGAGGGTGTTCAGAGAGCTTCCAGGTTGAGAAATACAATAGTTCCATGTGCCACTGTGCCAGGGCCCCAAGCTCTGTGAACATAGAAGCTCCTTTGTTCTGGATCTTGCCATATGTTTCTGTTCATAGGGATGTTGATTTGTATCCCTTAATAACCTTTGTAATAAAGTGGTAATCTAGTGAGTAAATGGGTTTCCCTGAGTTCTGTGAGCCATTCTAATAAATTAATTCAAACCAAAGAGGGGGTCATGGGAACCTCTAATTTATGGCCAGTTGGTCAGAAGTGCAGGTAACAACCTATACTCACAATTGGTATCCTGTTGGAAGGGGACCATTGGAGCCTCCAATTTGCAGCAGGGCAGTCAGAAGCACAGGTGACAACCTGGGCATGTGATGGTATCAGAAGTGGAGGGTGGTCTTGTGGGACTGAGCTTTTTACCTGTGGAATGTGATGCTATCTTCAGGTAGATAGTGTCAGAATTGAGTTGAATTCTTGGATACCTTATTGGTGCCTGAGAATTGCTTACTGGTGTACCTACCCCAGCCTCAACACACACATCAGAATTGGGTCCAGGAACCCAAAAGAACATCTCAGACCTGGGAATAGAAACTGTAGTCCTCAACAAACCCACCCCTCTTTCTTTCAGGCTGTCCTGGGCCAAATGCCAGGAACCACATTCAACTGGTCTGAGCCAGAGATAAGAGCTTCTACCAACTCTCCTGGTGGGAGCTGCCTTCGTGGGTCAGGGCCAGTTGCCGCCCAGATTCCATTCACTCCCACATATCACAGTCTAAACCCCACACAGCTAAGCAGAATCCTCTGTACCTGCTTTCTTCCAGCAGCATGAAGTCAGGGACTCAGCTTTTATTATTTCCTTGAAGGAGAGGATGGGAAGTGCATTCAGTCATCTATCTGTTGTTCATCAAGCACCTACTCTGTGCTCCTGGCTTGGGTACTGAGGAGTCCCAGCCTGTTGTGGCCAGCTAACATTAGGGTTGTGAGATCTACACAGAGGTAAGTGCTGGCTTCTATTTGACTCCTCTGCCCCATTATTTCAGAATGCTGTCAAGCTCCTTGGATCCATAAACCTTGCATCAGAATATTAGATACCAGTGGTCCCTTGGGCAGACATGAAGTGGTAGAGCACGACCTAGAATCCAGCACAGGGCCCGGCTCAGGGATGTTGGTTGGGTGGAATCAAAGGTGATGCCTTGCTCTCATCAGTTTTGATGATGGAGCCCAGACCTCACCAATTCAGCTAGGTGGAAAGGGGAGGAGAGAGCAGTGCATGGCATGAACCCAACTCCTCGGAGGCAGACAAGTAAAGAGAGGGTCCCATACTACTGTCATGCTCTCCCTGCTCTGAGCCCAAATGCCAGGCCTGTCCCTCACCTTACAGGCCTAAGGAAGAGCACAAATGAAGATCCACTCACTACAGAGCTAAATTTGTATCAAGTCTAAGTTACTTGTGAATGGTCTAGCCTTGTATCATGATAAGCCTACCTTCATAATAACCTGGAAGGCCATGTTTAAGTTTAAACTTCTAGCCCTCCTTGAAGTTCTGTGTTAGAATGTTCCACAGTGCTGGTCCCCAGCCAACAGTCTGCCTTCTCTTCCTCCTGGCAGCCCTACCTCCCACGGCAAGGGGCTTTGTGGGTATAAAACACTCCAGTTGCATATCCAAAGTCCATCCACTCAGCTCTCTGACAGTGGGCCTAGGAGTATGCACATCCATAGCACAGTCTGTCAAGACCCAGAGAAGAGAGGCTGGGAAGTGGGCTTTGCAGGGAATTCTAAGGTCTTAGAAGGAGAAAGGACACGTCCTCTTGACCTAGCCTTCTGTGGCGAGGATCCTGGCTGGAGGGTCATGGCAGGGCTTTCTGCAGTGAAAGGTCAGGGCACTGACCCTCGCCCTCTTGCAATGGGGTTTTCCAGGCTACAAGCTCTGATAGCAGAAACAGCTCCCTGATACCTCCCTCGCTTCTGTTATCCACCTCCCCCCAATCCCCGAGGTAAAGGATCAACAAGCAGACCCATACAAAAGAAAAATACTGTTTATTACACACAACTACATCAAGTGCTTCTTCCCCATTCTCCCCTCCCCACCCCTCACTCCAGCCCTCAGCAGGCTTTGCTCCTTGTCAGGGGACAGTCAGAACCTTAGTGTCAGAGCCTGGCCTATGAGACAGAAATATAATCTAGACATAGGAAGGTGAGCAGGTCCAAGGACACAAAAAATGTCAGGGTCTCTCTCATTCCAAATTCAAGTGTGTTCCTCAATCCACCTGGCCAAATTCTTTCCTGGGCCCCCACTAGAGTGGAGAGTGCCGTGGAGAGTGCCGTGGAGAGTGCAGGGTCAAAGCCCCCAGCTGGTTCACCGGGCCATATAAAAAGTTCCAGTCTTTCTTTCATTTAAAACAAAACCAAACAAACAATACCACACGCAGACAGTTAAATCATCTCTGCCCTCTCTCCTGTGTAAGCTCTGGCTTCTGTCTAGAAAGGTGCTTTCAAAACAAACATTATATAAATCCCCTTCATTGTGTGGTGCTACCAGAAACAAAGCAGAAGACCCACCTCGGGTACAGATAGCTGCTCCATGAGGACCTGACAGTGGGAGAGCAGGAGCAGAGACAGGGAGCCTGTGAGCTCTGCCTTGGGCCATTTCAGGGATACTCTGTGCCCCCCCCCCCACAACCCCTGCCTGGGGAATTCATACTGCAAAAATTCTGTCCCTTGGAAAGACCTATCCATCCTTCCCAGAGAGGAGAAAATGGTTTCATTCTAGCCCAGCCTTGGGAAGACAGATTTAGAAAAGGGAGGAGCTGAGAAAGCATGGCCAGGCCTAATTTAGACCAGAACTTCATTATCTTTTTCCTTTCCCAGACCGGGACAGATGGGATCCTCCTGAATCTCCCCGGCCACCCCACCCCCCCGGATTATATGCTACTCCCCGGGCTCCAGCTGTGACCCACTTGTCTCTCCCAAAAAAGAAAGCATATCTGAGTGCAAGTGTTTGAGGGTGAAAACCTGCCTCTCTCTAATTCATTGAAGGGTAAGCCACTGAACCCTTTACTGACCCTGGTATTTAACTCTTCTTACTGCAAACTTGTTAGGCATGCCTCTCACAGGTGGGGTCCTCATCTCATGCAGACGGGCTAGATAACCTTAAACTTGAGCCTGCCCCTTGGGAGACATATTCTCTCCTGGGAGGCTTGGGCAGGCAAGGTGCCCGCCTGCCTCCTCATTCTTACCACACTCGGGAAGGTTTGGTTGGTCTGAATGCAGTTTCAAAGCTGTTTCCTTCCAACATGGATTACAAATGAGAAGGTTTCGCTTTAGTGCAATTTCCCCCCAAAAGGAATCAGGGAGAGTGGGAAAGGAGATCCCATGTTCTGGCCCCAGGGTTGTGGGAACCTTCTGACCTTGAAGGCAAGGCAGACACTGAGCCTGACCTTCTGAGCAGCTCATCACACTTTTCGGAATTGTGCCTCTTGGGTCCTTTTGGGGAGACAGTGTGCCTGCAGGCAAAAGGTGGGAGGTGAGGCTGCGGTTCCACAGTTCCACGGGACAAGCGGCTGGACCTGCCACACTTACACACAGGAGTAAAGGGGAAGAGAGCGAGGAGAGAGAATGCCATCAAGAACAAGAGCTAAGGGCCAGGGATCCTTTGGGGGCAGCTGCAGCCCTGCCCCAAGGATGGAGAGTGTCTGGTTCCCAACCAGAATTCACCCTTGGAAAACCACATTAGCAAAGTGCTTCTTTAAGTGACACCACTTAAGGGAGGGGTCCCCTGGCGTGACCGGCTGGAGCCTGGAGCTCTCCAGCGGGCCCCTCTGCCCTCTCCATGCTGTGAGATACGTGGAGGAGCCGAGGGAGGCAGTGGACACACATGCACACAGTGGAGCCTCACGACCCAGGACAAGCACAGCTGCACGCGGCAGAATGACAGGTGCTGTCACGGCAGTGGCTGCAGCCAGGGGCCAAGGGAAAAGTACAAAGTGCTGGAATGCAGGGCTGGGGGCTGAGCCCTAAGGGATCTGAAAGACATTCAGCTTGCTGGTGTTCTTGAGCGTCTGGCGCCGATTGCAGAACCAGACCCGCACCACCTCCCGGTCATAGTTGAGCTCCTTAGCGATCTCGGTGATCTCCTGGCCCGTGGGCAGTGGGTTCTTCTCGAAATAGGCATTCAGAGCCTCTATGGCCTGCGGGGTGAAGGAGGTGCGGCGTTTGCGCTTCTTGGAGGGCTCACCTCCCACAAACTCCATCAGGTTCTGCTGTCCTTCCTGGTTCCGGAGTTCGGCTTCATTCAGCCACTTCTCCAGCACTGGCTTCAGCTTCTGGGCACTCTTGGGCGTGATGTCCAGCTTCTCGAACCTGTGGGTGACCCGAACCCATGGAAGGGATGGTGAGAACTCTCCACACCGGGGTGTGAGTACTCTCCACAAGGGGCTGCTCCCCTCAGGGCTGGTGACACAGGACTAAATGTTCCCCTCAGCGCCCCCACCGTGACCACCCTGGCCCAGCCAAGCCCGGCCTCCTCAGACTGTCCTGGATCCCAGGTCACACCAGGGAGACCATTCCCATGGCCTCAGTTCAGTGCTGCAACTGTCCTTTGAACGACTCTTCCAGAACATTCACACCCAAGGGAATGAGGTCCTCTGAGGAGCTGCCTAGAGAGGTCTTCAGAGATGGCACCTGGATGTCATGAGTGCCACCTCTCCAGTCAGCCTCCCAGCAGCCTCCCGAAGTCAGATGACTCTTTCTGACCATGCCCAGATGTGACTACATAACTGCCAACATGGTGCCCGCTCTAACAGTCACTCTCATCTAATCAAGGAGTCGGCAGGCACCTTTTCGCCATCCCTGAGCCATGTGCTCATTCTCGTTTGAAACCCCTGCTCTGCTTTGATGCTGGGACGAGTTCTGCACACAGAAAAGTCAGCTCCATCCCCTTACAGGCATGCCTTGGAGGAGGGGGAGATGGGAGCATAAGGGGGGTGTGGGGTGGGGGGACGTGGTTGAGAGCTAAGTCAGTACCGAAGCCCCACTTTTGTGACCAGCTTCATAAACTGTACCCCTTTCCCTGTAGGGTTCCTGAATGGATTAGGGTCCTGGGTTCCCCCAAACAAAAGACCACATAAATGCTCAGGATTGGAGGATAAACTGCGGAGGGCCCTCAGGCAGACTGGATCAGTCCTTGGCTACTCTAGGTGTTCATGCTGACCCCTAGAACAGCCTTCTTGGTCTGGAAGGAGGCAGGACCAAGGGAGAATATGGAAAGGAGCCATGCACCTGGGTCCCACTGAGTGCCTAGTGACATCAGGTGCCTGAGCAGGACTTACTCACCGGCAGATAGCTGACTGGCTGTAGGCCGGGCCTTCTGTGGCAGTCAGAGCCTGACCCACCTGAGTCTGTGTGAGGCCCAGGGACAGCCGTCGGATCTTAAAATTCTTGGCAAACTCCCGGATCTCTTCCAAGTTGATTCCGTCCTCATCCAGACTTGGGGTATGTGGCTCTAGGCCAGAGGAAGGGATCGGGGTGAGTGTGTAAAACAGATGATATCGCTGCTTATCTAGCTTATTGGCCTCAATTGGTAAAGTAGCGACAGATGAGGACATTTGACACGAGGGCCATGTACCCTTATTACCCTCATCACCCCTTCAAGTTCTTCTAGCCCTAATGGCCAACCCACCCCCATTCTCCCTACTGCTAGCCCCAAGCACACCTTAGCTATCCACATTCCTCAGATACTGGGTGACAGACCAAAGGAGAGACAGCCAGTGGGTTGGGTTCTCAAAGAAGCAGCTTCCACTATCATCATGCCTAGAATCCAGCTCAGCAGGAATGGAACTAAGAAAGCCAATCCCTGGTGTTGGGCCTTTGCCTTCCCCCTTTGGATTCTAGAAAGTTTATTAAGGAGAGCGGCATCTAAAGGTGCTGGGGTAGGTGAGTAAATGTCTCCTCTCCTCTTCTCCACAACCCTCCCCAGGAGCCACTTACTGGATACCAACTGGCTGACAGTAGGGGTCTCAGAGCAGGTGATTGGAATGGGAGCAGAGGCAGATGGCTTGGCCGCTGGGGCTGGGCTGGTGATGACCACCGCAGGCTGGGGCACGGCTGGCGTGGGCTGGATGGGCTGTACCTATGAGAAGAAAGCCAATGAGTCCCTACTGCTCACCTGCCTGCCTTGGGTGGGTTGCAGTCCCTGAAAGGACCAGAGGCAGGGCAAAATGGGCACGAAATCCTCACTTACCCGCACACTCCTACCTATGCGCCATCACAAAGCAAGACTAGAAACTACTTATTAGAACCCACCCAACAATCATGACCAAGTTGGAGCCTCACAGGCACCTGTGACACCGGCAGGTCTGAGGCTCAGAAAGGTTCAGTACACTTGGTCAAAACCCCCACAAGTTTCCACCCTTGAGATAACTGCTCTCGAATCTTTTCCCTCAGAGCAGAAACCGAAACCTGATTCTAGGGCCTCCCCCAAATGTCCATTCATAGGGAACCGGCAAGTGATTCCTGGGACTTCCCTACAGTGAGATTTTGCGCAGCTGCTAAAAAGAGTAACAGTAAATCTTTTAAATACTGGCATGCAAAGAGCTCTGGCTCACAGTGCTAAGTGGAAAAAAAGTAAAGCGAAAACAGTTTTTAGAGAATAATTCCTATTAAAAATACATATGAGTTTCCAGGGAAAAAAATCTGAGGCATAAAAATCAAGTTGTCAACTTGAAGTTATCTCTGGAGGTGGAACTGGAAAGGATTTTTACTTTTTTCCATTACACTTAATATTGGAATTTTTATAAAACTCATGTATCATATTTATTATCAAGAGAAACTAATTAGTATTTTTCGCATGATTTTTTTGAGTAAACTCTACTTCCAACATGGAGCTAGAACTCATGAGCTCAAGATCAAGAGTCACATACTCTACTGACTGAGTCAGCCAGGCGCCCCAGTATGATTTTTTCTTAAAAAAAGCTTCCTGAAAAGTGCAAATTTCTCTAGGATGAGGCCTATTCCTGGATTCCCTCTAGCTTTTAAGTCCATTCCCTCTTTATCCCCAGAATCTTATTAGCCTTTGGTCAGGGCTCCTTATTTCTTTTAGAACTGTTTCAGCTGCCTCCTAACAGGTGACAAGGACTCAAGTCTCACCATGGTTCAGTTCTTAGCTCCACCTGGACAAGAGCTAATTTTTTTTTTTTTTCTTTTATAAAGTAGGCGCCATGTCCAGTGTGGATCCCAACATGGGGCTTGAACTCACAACCCTGAGATCAAGACCTGAGCTGAAACCAAGAGTCAGATCCTTAATTGACTGGGCCACCCAGGCACGCTCCCCTCCCCCTGCCACCTGGGTAATTTCTGTTTAATACACATCTAGCTGCTTCCCTACTAAAAGCCCTTCCTACATAATAACAGTGATGAAATAAAAGCACCATTTTCCCAGTGCTTCCTGTGTACCAGAGTGTTAACTGCCTCACGTGTAACGTGTAGCATTCGTAACCTTCTGAATTGGCACTCTGAGAATCTCCATGCTACAGAGGAGGCCAAAGGGTTATTCACAAAGTTTGGAAGCAGCACACCGCATTTGAGAGTCATGGCCTCGACATCGCCTGAGAACTTGCCAGAAATGCAAACTCTTGGGCTCCACTCCAGCCCTGCTGAATAAGAACTCCAGGGGTGGGGGAACATGTGTGTGTGTGCTGGGAATCTGCATTCCAACAAGCCCTCCGGGTGGTTCTGACACCCACTCCCATTTGAGAACCCCTGCTCTGTCTGGCACGTTATCATTCCAGCAATTACGTAAAGGTAGGCCCACTACTCATCCCTTTAGGTTAGGTCACCGTCCCTTCTCTAGGAAGACTTGCTGAACTCCCTAGTCTGTCAGGAGCTCCCTTCTCCAGCTCCCCGCAGCACCTTATCAAGTCCCTATCATAGTCCTAGTCATGCTGGCTTGCAGCCATCTCCAGCGCTGGGCTACCTAAGGCTAGGAAGTCCATCTAACTCATCTCTAGATCGTCAGCACCTGGAATACAGTAAGCACTCAAACACTGCTCCTGGAACGAACAAAAAAAGGAATCATCAAAGCCACAGTGCAGATTGAAGGGGTGAAGTGGGAGGGGGTGCAGAATCACTCCCTGGGGCTCTTCTGGTGGTCTGTTCATCCTGGAGCCGATCAAGACTCCGTCTACTCTGACCACCTCCCTGGCTTTCTCAGCACGCTGCCACTGGCCTCTGAGGGCACAAAGACGCGTCTTGGGTGTGTGTGGGGAGAGCTGGGGGAGTGCTCCTTCCCTGGACAGACTATGGGTGGACTCGCTTGTGCCTTCTACCCTGGGATTTCCCCCCACTTTGGAGAGGTGCCCTGTTTCCCAGGGACCTCAGAAGACTACCTTGTCCTACCCCGCAGTCTCAAGGGAGGCAGCCCACGCCAGACAGCCTTGCCTGCCGCCCACCCCCCCAACACCTGCCCTCACCCCAACCCAGCCCTTGTACCTCACTCTTAGCGGGGGACTCAGGCGTGCTTGCCTTCCGGACAGCCACGGGCGGAGGCAGGGGGCTGCTGGCCAGGGTCGCAATCACCTGGCCCTGGGCATTCAACAACAGCTGGGGGGTCACAGCCTGGACCTGCAGGCTCGGGGCTGGAACTGGGGCTGCCACACTAGCTGAGTTCACTACCCACGGCAGGGCTCCAATAACCTGGGAGAAGACAACACAGGGACCCCGGGGTGTGAGGCCAGTGCCCAGTCCCGCCCCCAACCCAAAACCCCGCACTGGCAGGCGAAGGGACTTAAACGAATCATTTCACCCTTCTGGACCTCAGTTTCCTCATCAGTAAAGAGGATTCATCCTCTAGGAGCTGTTGCCTTTATTCCACCTCCAGAGCTGTGGCGGGACAAGAAGAGGTCCACCCATGAATCACAGCCCTGGTTGCAAATCCCTGCCCTGCCACACTTTCTCGGGTGGCTTCATTTCTCTGTACCTCAGCCTTCTCCCCTGTGAAAGGGGAATGAGAATCTGCACCTGGTAGGCCTGTACTCAAAGTGAGGTGACGTCATGTATGAGAAGGCACCTGACACAGAGCGGGGCCACAAAGTGGGGGATCCACAAAAGAAAGCCCCCCGACTAGAGGGAGCCCCTAGAGGGCATAGGGGTGGCTACACCCCTGCCTGAGCTTAGCATCAGTAGATGGCTGCCACATGAGGGACAGGACAGCAGCCGGACACCCTGCTCAAGTTTCTCTAACCCTTAGCACGTGTCATTTCCCCCCCCGCCCCAACCCCGGCTTCTCCTCAGCCCCCAACCCTCAGCCCTGCCTTTGACCACTTGCCTGTCCCTGAGCGTTGGTGAGGATCTGACTGCTGATCCCCGGCATGCTGGGGATGGCGTTGGCAATGACCGGAGTGGTAGTGAGGGAGCCTAGGATCTGGGTCTGTCCCCCGAGGGAAGCAGCACTGATCTGTGGGTGGAGAAAGAGCCTTGCTCAGAGGCCAAGGGGCAAGAAAGAGCCCAAGGCAGAGAGGAGAAGGCTGAGGGCTGGGGGGTTGGGGCGATACAGGTGCTGGGCAGATGTGAATGTGGGCTGCAGGCCCAGGTCCACCAGCTGAAGAGCATCCAGGGCCCGGGGCTGTAGGGGGCTGGTGGGGAGGGGTGGGGCTGCCACCAGGGAAGGGCAACTCTGGCTAATCTCTCAGGCCAGACCTGGGAGGACAGAAAGTCCAGACGGGAGGGACCGATGTGATTCTGGTCACATCTAACAGCTCCCCTGCCAAGCCAGGAGCCACACTGGACAGACACTGGTGGGGCCGGGAGCCTCCAGCTCCGCATTAGCCAGAGCTCACAAGCGTGCTACCCCAAACACCATCCCACCCTCCAAGGTTGATCCAGTGGTTCAGGTTCTGGAGAACTGGCCCAGCCCTCTTGGCGGAGGCTGTCTGCTTTTGCCTGGGATGGACGGGCTGGCAGATGCAAGGAGAAGGCCTCCGAGGGAGCCATCTCTGCTGATGTGTTGGAAAAGAGCCGTATTCAGGGGGCTGGTCCTCCACCTCCTTCCTCCCCTGTGGGAAGGGCCAGTTCCACCCTTGGCCTGAGATTTGGTCCATCCCTGGTCAGCCCTGGGTGAGGGCAGCGGCTTACAATTCCCGGGCTTAGCGCGAAGCCCGCAGGTTGGACGGTGATCTGTGGGGGGTTGTCCACCGGCTTGGGTGTGGGGGCCGTCGTGGTGGCAGCAGGGGGCTGCGGGAGAATGGCAGGTGTGGTCTGCAGCAGTGGTGGGGTCTGGAACAGCGTCTGGGGCGGGGCTGCTGGCCGGGGCTGGGTGGGCGACGAGGCCTGTGCTGGCGCTTGTGGCGGGACAGCTTGGACAGGTGTCGGGAGCGCGGCGTTCAGCACGGCAGCTGCTACGGAGCAAGGCAGAGACAGGGGTGCTCAAACGCCCAGCCGCAGCCCCAGAGCGGCTCCAATCCCAGGGGATCTGGCACAAGGATGAGAGGGGGTTGGGACAGCGGGGCAGAGGGGACAGGCAGCTGCGATTCCCTTGATCCTTGCACAGGACAACATCTCTCATCCCCCCTCCCTTGGGCCTGGAGGTGTTGGAGGTTCAAAACCAGAAGATGAATCTTCTTGCGGTCCTTCTCCCGAGGATGGTCATGGGGTGAATTCTGGCGTGGGGGGAGAGGGGCAGTCTCAGTTGGCTGAAGTAAGAGAGGCCTGCTGGGCCAGCACGGTGTCACGGCCTCGAGTCCCGAGGTGGTGCTGCAGCTCTGTGGCTGGGTGCCTGGGACACCGGATCCAGACTCCAGGGCTGGGGCCCCGGTGGGCCGCGGGTTCTGAGTCCAACATGGCCAGCACGCGTGCAGGGAGAGTAGTATAGGGTGGTGGGGGGGCCTGGTGCAGTCCTGGGGAGAGTGGCCGTTACCTTGCAGACCGGCTAAAGGTGGCTTGAAAATTCCCCCCGTGGGAGAAGCAGCTGTCAGTCCTGGGAGGGCGGCCACGGTTGCTGTAGGAATTGTCCACACGGCCAGCCCCTGCTGACCAGCCACTTGACCTGCAATACTGATGGGGATAAGAAGAGGTTGAGTAACTGCCCCTGCTGGAACCATAACTCCTGTCAGAACTGTGGCTAAGTTTTCCTGAGTCAAGACCTGCAAAAGCAAACAAGATTTCAAAAAGAAAAGAAAAAATAAAAAATCAACATTGACAGCGCAAACGCCGGGTCTCTAGGACCCGGTTGAGCACAAACAACGCATTCTGAGGGCAATGGGGGCTGGGGGAGGCCACATGAGGGTGGGGAAGAGATAAGCCCTAGCCAGAGGCCCAATCCTGAGGGGCTGCCTGGACCTGACGAGCCTGCCTTCAGAGAAGCTGCCCACCCCCCTTGGAGACAGGGCCTGGCCCTGCTCACAGCACAGCCAAGGGGGCACAGGCATGGCCTGTCACCTCCTAGGCCTTTCCTGGGCCCTTAGCCATAGGACCGGGGCTTTGTGGCCAGGAAGCGGGGTGGGGGCTGGTGGAACCAAGTAGTCAAGGGCCTACTGAGGCCTCTGGGAAGCTCTGATGGAAGATACCCCTGCCAGGTGCCCAGCGGATCTGTGCCTGGAGCAGAAGGCCACAGGTAGCTCAGCACGGCTGGAGGATCCAGGAGGCAGCTTTTCACAGTGCTGGGGCTGCCCCCTGGCTCTAAAAGAGGACTCTGAATGACCTATTTACTCTTCCAGGCATCCACTGGAGGGGCTAACAAGGGCACCTGCTCATTTAGTCATGAGATTAAACAGAGATGCCTGGGGCACCAAAGAGTCAATGTTATCCCTACCTATAGTCCTTGCTGGGCTGAGGGATATGACTTGGCGAACACACATCTGATCTTCCCAGAGGGCCTGATCTGGGGTAGGGGACAGGTCAGGGGTACCTCAAAGGGGAAGCCCTCCTCTAAGCCACAGCCCCTTCCCTGTTCTGCCCGTGAAATTCCCAGATCCCGCGGCCACCCCACGTTGGCTGTCCCATGCTTCGCTCCTGCCCAGGGCCCGCTGCTCAGCTCCCTGGGTGGCCCTTACCTGGGGGGCAGCTTGTACAGCGAGGGGCGCCAGCGTCTGGGATGCCTGAGGCTGGCTCGGGGCTTGGCTGAAGGTGGCAACGGCAGGGGCAGGGCTCGGAGGGATCCCCGGGAGAGACTTCACTTCACGTGGCATGGAGAGAAAGGACAAGGAGTGAGCCTGGTACGTGCAGAGGGGTCACCGGCATAGAGCGTCTGGTTGCACCCTGAGGTGGCAACTCTCAGCCTCATGCTGTACTTTTGCATAACCCCAGGTCAATTGCTGGCCTTCCCTGGCCCGGGAGAGACCACTTCCCCCAGTGCTGCCAGTCTCGAGAATAGGAGGCCAGCGCGCCCGATACCCGACCTGCAAGGTAGGTCACCCTCTTCCCACCTCTAGTCGAAGTAAACGCAGGTCTGTGCACAGCTGGCTCTCAGTCTCTATTTCCCGGTTCCTTAGGACACGGTGACCTATCACATAATCAGTAGAAGGGACTGCAGTGAACGCTGGCGGGGAGGGAGGGAGCTAGAACGAATGGGAGCAACTCTCCTTGGCTCATCCGGCAATGGAATCACCGTTCACAACACCTGTGGACTACTGTTTGGAAGCAGCTGCTGGCCCGGGGGAAGGCTACCAGGATTCCTGTAGGGGCAAGTCCTTGAAGTGACAGGCCCCCGAAAACTGGACTCCGGAACCCAGGGGCGCTCCAGGCTGGGCAGCGTTTCTCTGCCAGGGCCTGAGGTCTGACGTCCAGAAGAGAAGCTTCACTGAGCTTGAACTGGAGCTTTTCACCCGCATTAAAGCCCCCTCCTGCTCCCTTGACATAGGTATTGGGGACCCCCACCAGGAAACCTCTTCAAAGCCACACAACAATGAGGAGGGGGGTTATTATTTATTACGTGGTGAGACTACGGACGGGGTGATGGAGGTTAGACCAGATTGGTGGCTTCTTAATACTGGATGGGCATAGATTTCTAGGCCCTAATCAAGGCCTCTTGGATCAGAATGCCTGGGAGTGAAGGCAGCAAACTCTCCACTTTCTCTTCTTTCTTTAAGCTCGCTTGTGACACAGCATGAAATAGATAAACTTCCAACCCAGCATTCCCAGGCCTTCTGTTAATCAGGAAAGGCAGCAACATAACTCAGGACTGTGATGTCCACAGTATACAATGACAAAAAATCCAATTGTTTAAGGAAATAAGGAGACAAACAGGCAACAACGAAAGCCTTCTAAAATTCAAACAGAAAACAAAATGGCAGGTTTATCTCACCCACGGAAGGGAAATACAGTTCTACCCACTGAAAAAAATCAGAGAGCACAGGGATATTCTGAATCTATGAAAATTTAAAAAGGATTTTGCTTGACAACATTTTATAAAATTAAAAAAAGGAAAGTGGGAAAATGGGAATGTGATTAACATGACGGTGAAAAGCTTACTATCTAAAGAAAGGAGATATTCATTTTATTAGGATTTATTTCCCAGGTAGGACCCAGGGTCCAAAGGTTTGCATCCATTTAGGGCTGACTGCCTTTAGCTCAGGTCCTTTCCTGTGAGACTGCTTTTCAGAAAGGCTGAACCAATTCACAGTACTGTCAATAATGTCCCCATTTCTCCACCGTGACCCCAATTTAGGTCTTATCACTATTTACTTTTTTGGCTTAACAGGCATGTGGTACCTTCTAGCCAATTACTTGAACTCTCATTGAGAGATTTTGTGATGTGAGATGTGTGATGTGAGAGATACACACTTGACTTCTCTTCAAAAAGAATCCCAGTGGACTATACCTCAAAGAAAAAAAAATCCTCAGGGCACCTGGGTGGCTCAGTGGGTTAAGCCTCTGCCTTCGGCTGAGGTCATGATCCCAGGGTCCTGAGATCGAGCCCTGAGCTCTCTGCTCAGCGGGGAGCCTGCTTCCCCCCTCTCTCTGCCTGCCTCTCTGCCTACTTGTGATCTCTCTCTCTCTGTCAAATAAATAAATAAAATCTTTAAAAAAAAAAAAATTCTCAAAGGACCCGAACAAAGGCACTCAATGCAGCACCGGTTATGACAATGAAAACCCAAACAGTTTGGCAATAGCAAAGCCCAGAATCAGGTGTGTGAATCTACGTCAATAAAGGAAATGGGGGTGCCTGGGTGGCTCAGTTGGTTAAGCGACTGCCTTCAGCTCAGGTCATGATCCTGGAGTCCCAGGATTGAGTCCCGCATCGGGCTCCCTGCTCAGTGGGGAGTCTTCTCCCTCTGACTCTCTCCCCTCTCATACTCTCTCTCTCTCAAATAAATAAATAAAATCTAAAAAAAAAAAAAAAAAGTTTACTTTAAAAAAAAGGAAATGGGCCTATGAATAATATGGTGGTAAGTGTCCTATTATAATCTACCCTTGGTGGTCACAACTGTATAAATACATACCTGTGACAAGGACAGGATAGTAATTTAGAGTGATATAAATCACACAATCTTTTTCATCCTGAAAAAGTTTCCCATTACTTAGTTTTGTTTGAAGAGGAAACTCTTCTTACTATTGTGTATCTAGAAAGACTAGCAAGGCCACAGCCTAAGTTGGCAGCTTCTTAGGTGGTACTGTCAAAATGCCTCCCTTTCCTTCTAGATGGTAACTAAAATTTCCTTTACAAAGAACAGGACTTTTGTGAAAGGCCTAAATATACAAACCTCTGGAAGAAAACACGCGCTACCATAAACACTCATGCTAGGGTGTAAATAGTTGATTTAGGATCCATTTCTGAGAGCAGGTTTGAACAAGGAACAGAATCAAGGCACCGGAAGAAAGGAGATATGGAAGACAGATTAAAGGGCAAAAACGGATGGGGAGCCTGGGTGGCACCATCGGTTAAGTGTCCGACCCTTGATTTCAGCTCAGGTCACCATCTCAGGGTCCTGATTTGAGCCCCACATCAGGCTCCGGGTTGAGCATAACCCTGCTTAAGATTCTCTCTCTCCCCCTGCCCCTCCCCCACACCCCTCTTTTATTTTTTTTTATTTTTTTTTTTTAATAAAGATTTTATTTATTTATTTGACAGAGAGAGATCACAAGCAGGCAGAGAGGCAGGTAGAGAGAGAGGAGGAAGCAGGCTCCCCGCTGAGCAGAGAGCCCGATGCGGGGCTCGATCCCAGGACCCTGAGATCATGACCTGAGCCGAAGGCAGTGGCTTAACCCACTGAGCCACCCAGGCGCCCCCACACCCCTCTTTAAAAAAAAAAAAAAAAAAAGAGTAAAAAGGGAAATCAGGACACTGTGGATAAACCTGGGATAAACCTCCCGAATTTTCTGAAAAAGGGCTCCACCCACCATGGGAAGGAGTCAGAAGAGGGGGGCCAGGTGTAACATCCTTGTCTTGGCTGCCTGCTCTCCAGGGCACTGCCCCCATGGGACCAGGAAATGCCCACCCTGGCCTCAACATGGAGTAGAGCATTTCCAGGCTAGGGGAGAATGGTCATGTCTCTTGCCATTCCTTTATTCAAAAAGAGAAAAAATCCTAGGTTAGTAGGGTCCCAAATGAATGTGGGTAGAGCAAGGGATGTGAGGCCTTGCAGTTTTCTTATTCAGGAGTTGCTCAAAATCCCTAAAGCCTGTCTTCATTTGTTCTCTTCTTGGCTCCTCCTCTTGGCCCACTCCTATCAGCCCAGATATCTAGGGAAGGGTAGATAAGCAGCAGCTCAGGGAGATGTATCGTGGAGTTCTGGGGTGGAGGATGAAGTCCCAGGTCCCAGGTTTCCAGCAAAAGATGTCTCCTCCGTAAGGTATCAGTGAGGAAAATCCAGGAAAGGATGCCCCACGGTCAGAGAGCCACACCTGGCACCATCCCAGTCTCTAGAACAGTCCTGGTCGTGTCACAGCTACCCTGCAGGGGATTAGGGGAGACTGTGCAGGGGGGATCATCTCTCTCCATTCCCCATACAGAAGAATCACACTCTTGCCCTAAAGTTGTTTTTCAGAGGACAGCACAGGGGCGCCTGAGTGGCTCAGTCGGTTAAGTGTCTGTCTGCCTTTGGCTCAGGTCATGATCCCAGGGTCCTGGGATCAAGTTTTGCACTGGGCTCCCTGCTCAGTGGGAGGCCTGCTTCTCCCTCTCCCACTCCCCCTGCTTGTGTTCCCTCTCTCGCTTTCTCTCTGTCAAATAAATAAATGAAAATCTTAAAAAAAAAAAAAAAAAAGGAAAGGAAGAAAGAGAGAAAGAAAGAGAGAAAGAAGAGAAATAAGATCCCAGGTTTAACTCACAGCAGCCCAGCAGGAAGTAAGGAGCTAGGATTCTGTAACGTCCCACAGAACCCACCCCCTTAGTCCTGGGTAAGTAACATGCCCTCCTACCCCCAGCTGCTGGGACCTCCTGACAGGGCCTCCTGGAAGGGCTGTCAGGATCCTGAAGGTCTAGTACTTTCTGCATTGGGCTGGCTGAGACCTAGAGCCCTCCCTCTCTGAGGTGAATTCAATCCCCTCAACTGAGCCTTGCCTCTCTCTGCCCACCTCACCCTGGTCCATCCCTGTTTAGGTGTGGAAGTGACTGAAACCAGATCTAGAGCTCCAGGGACAAGGAGGGCACCACAGCCCTAGCAGCTAAGCAGATGGATAGCTGTGGACAGAGGCTGTCCAGCGGACAGGAAGACAAAACCCAAAGGCTGACTAGGCCCAGGGATTCATGCCGGCTCTCCAAGGAGCCAGAGGAAGGGACTCAGGTAGGGCAGTGCCCGATGGGAGCCATGGCCTCGTACCCGTTGCCTCTGCAGAAGAGTCTGGGTTGTCTGGCCCGGCTTCACCAGCAGGTTCACTGGCTTCACCAGGGCCTCTGTTCTGGGAGCCCTCAGCAGCCACGCCCTCCAGCCCTTTGCCCTCCTCCTCGGCTGAGATCTGGGCATCCACTCCAACTTCCAGTACGCGGATGGTCTCGTGGCCTGACATCACGATGACCTGCAAACACAGCACAGGGGACTTCACTGGCGAGGAGCGGGCAGAGCGGCTGGTCTAGCTCCCGGGGAGGAGAGCTCTGGGTTCAGCTGGGGGAGATTGGAGAAGGCAGGCCCTCCAAGACTCGGACCTCCCACCTGAGGGCTGCGTGCTCTGGGCCAATTCCACAGCCTGGAGCAGGCTGCAGCTCTCTGATTCCAGGAGAGGAGCTTCTGAAAGGACCTGGGAGCCTGTGACAGGGGAAGGGCTTGACACGGGCTGGAAAAAGCCCCACAGAACCAAAACACTTGGGGATATTTCTATTTGCCCCCCTTTAGGGACTCAGTTCAGGGAGTGGTAAGTGGCTTAACCCACAGCCTTGCAAGGGTGTCCTCTCAGCTGCTAGGATATTGGAGTGTGCTGAGGAAGGCCCCGACACAGCATCCACAGCTAAGCTGGGCCAAGAAGCAAATCCCTCTTCACTTCTCTTGAAACCATATAGAAGTTCCCTCAAAGATATAGGGGGTGGAAAATGAATGCTCCACATTGTCAAGAAACTTTTTAAGCTCATGATTCCTTTATTTCCCAAACCCCAGGGAGGAAAGGCCAAGATTTCCCTGTGCACTAACTTCCTGAAATGCGGGTCAGGAATCCTGGAGATGGCAGCTTCGCAGGTCCAGTCGTGCCATCTGTGGGCGTGCCCCCACCTCGAAGGGAGCTTCCACACCCAGGGGTGCAGGCAGCACCCAGGGCCTCCTCAGAACCTCTGGTCGTCTCCTGCTCAAACAGCCAGCACTCCTTGGCTCTTTACCTCCAGCACTGACTGGCTTTCAATCGGGCCATTCAAGAGTCAGGGACACTCTGTGTACTCAAAAGTTCTGTTGGGCCTGCCTTGCACTTGGCCTATATGCGAAGGCATTCCCACCACACAGTCCTGAAGCCTGAAAACTGAATCCAGCCACAGACTGCTGGAAAAAGTGACAATGTAACCCATCAAGGAAGGATGAGGGAAATACACTTCCAAAAGCAGTTCCCTCTCTGATGCAAACTCGACCTGTGAGGGACTTCAGTCTGATTACATTTTAAGAGATGTTAGTCTTTTTTGTTTCTTTTAAAAAAGGATGTAATAAATATGTTCTCTAGAAAAAATTATAAGAAAAAATAGAGTAAATGACATGATGCCCAAATCTTTCCTTATGTAAACACACACATATTTGTATATATATTTTTTAATTTTTATTTAATTTATTTTTTAAAGTAAACTCTACTTTAAAGAGTAAAGTGAACTCACAACCCCAAAATCAAGAGTCACATGCTCTACCAACCAAGCCAGTCAGGTGCCCCATACATATTTGTATATTTTAATTTCACTTTTTTGAAACAGCTTAGGGGCACCTGGGTGGCTCAGTCAGTCAAACGTCTATCTTTGGCTCAGGTCATGATCCCAGGGTCCTCGGATCGAGTCCCACACCTGGGCTCCCTCCTCAGTGGTGAGCCTGCTTCTCCCTCTGCCCCTACTCCCCAGCTCATGCCCCCTCTCTTTTTTTCTCTTTCTGCCTGAAAAAAATAAGTAAAATCTTAAAAAAAAAAAAAATAAAGTCACAGCTTAAATCCCCCAACTCAGTCCCTGAGAAATCCTAGCTGTAACTACATCTGGATGGGTGAAGTGACCATGAATTTGGTAAGAAACAGATACTGACAGGTCTTCTGTAGTCTTCCCCCTGGACACACGCTGGTGTCCATGACCCTCACTCCCCCCGCCTCTTCCTGCCCCAGCATATACCTGCTCATTGACAGTCAGAGATGACTCTGGCCCGGCTCCAGGATCCATGGTCACTTGTCAGGGTTGGGTGGGGGCCGGCCCACAGCTAGCACATCTGTGGGATGACATGGGACAGGAAAAGCAAAGGCTGATGTGACGTAGTCATACAGTTTCTATATCACCTTGAAAAGTCAGGAGTAGAATGGTAGGAAGAGAGCGAACCTAAATTCTCTCAAGTGTCCATAGAAGTAAACAGGATTCTAAGGACTTTAAATCTAAAGCATCTCGCTTCCTACAGCATCCCAGGAGATCTACATTCAGGAGGAGCCAGGATGACCAGAGGAAAGAGAAGGGCAGGTATCTGTCCCTGGGAGTCCCCCAGTCTGCAGGGAGAGGGCAGATCCAGCAGAACCCAAGCTGATTTTGGCCCGGACACTGAGAACATCAGACACAAGGAAGGAGCCCTCTGGCTAATCAGAGGGCTTCTCAGGGGAGTTGGAGCAGACTTTGTTTGAGCAAGTTTGAGCAGACTTCCTGGGAGAGATGGTGAAGACAGGGATATATTAGAACAGTAGTCCCCAACTTGAATATGCACAATCATCATCTAGAGCACTTACTAAAAATACAAACACCAGATTCCCCTGAAGCAAGCATCCCCAGAGAGTCTGATTCAGCAGGTGGATCCCACAAAATCAGCTCTCAAGTGATTCTGTGGCAGTGGCCTAAGGACACTACTGGCCTTTAACACCAGAGGCAGGACAACCTCCCAGATCTCGGAGCAGTGGCCAAAGACAGGGAGAGGGAGTGGGAGGAACCCTCGTGAAGACCAGATTGGCCGGCTGGAGCCACAAACCCGTAGGGTCATTAAGAAATAAAGGTATAAAGAGGACAAACAGGTTTAGATACTTACATAGAAAAGTAGGCAATTAACACTGACGTTGAGAGCCTCTATTGCTAAGTGTTTATGTAACACTTATTCCTGCTCATTACTCATGCCAGCTGGGGGAAGGGGGCATTATTATGACCTGGGTGCAGATGAGGAAAGTAAATTCAGAGACATGTTCTAGATTCTAGATCTTTCCCTTCCTCTTTCAACCCTAGGTGGGTTGATTGGTCCTCCTTTTTTATGATTTTATTGATTGAGGTAAAATTCACCACGGTAACCATTTTAAAGTGTCAAACTCAGTAGAATTTAATAGATTTACAATATTGTGCACCCATCACCACGATTTAGTTCCAGGACATTTTCATCATCCCCCAAAGGAAACCCCATTAGCTGTTACTTCCTTTCTCTGCCACCCCCAGCCTCTGGCAACCACGAGTCTGCTTTTTTCTTTATGAATTTGTCTAGTCTTCATATTTCATATAAATGGAATCATACAATAAATGGCCTCTGTGTCTGCCTTCTTTCACTTAGCAAAATTTTCCCAAGGTTTATCCATGTTGTAGCACATACCAAGACTTTAATCCTTTTTATAGCTATGAAATAGCCGATAATATTGGGGGTGCTCCTGGCACCGTCTGCGCCGGCTTAGGGAGAGGCAAATAGAGATTTCATTTCCAAGATGGAACATTCATCAAGCTCAGCGGTGACTTTACCGAGTACTCTCCTGGCCCAGGCCCTGACCTAGCACCTCCCCGCACAAGCAGTTCAAGACAAAGACCTGTTAAGTGCAACACTTCATGAGTAAGGAAAACAAGATCTTCATTTAATCCCTATTACAGCATGGTAAAATGTCTTAAAGTAGAGAATGAAGTAAACCTGTCAGACCTTTTCAAAGAAACCAGTATCTTCACCAGAAGAAAACTATTTGTAATTTTAAGAACATTTTTAGGGCGCCTGGATGGCTCAATTGGTTGGGCAACTGCCTTCGGCTCAGGTCATGATTCTGGAGTCCCGGGACTGAGTCCCATATCTGGCTCCCTGCTTGGCGGGGAGTCTGTTTCTCCCTCTGACCTGTCCCCTCTCATGCTCGCTCTCTCTCAAAAAAAAAAAAAAAAAAAAAAAAAAAAAAAAATTAAAACACATAGATCGCAAAGGTGAAGTAAGGACGTATTCTGTAAAACACCTTTGAGGATATGGATGCACATGGATCTATGCACTCGATCCTGGGTCCAAAACGGTTTTGTGAGTGAGGCTGTCCCAAACACGGATTAAATGAAGAACAAGCAAAATTGGATGAAGCAGGTTCAGGGAAAGGAAGACCTTTTTCGGGGACAGAAACTAGCATAACGTACGGATCAAAGAAGGACTTGTGTCAGTTACGGGGTTGCTCGAAAAGGAGTGTAGAAGCTGTAATCAGCTGTTGATTTATGATGGTCAGCCGGCTGAAAATGGCAGCAAGACTCAGCCTTGCTAAGCTGCTAGCCCACTATGGGTTAGATGACCAATTGCTATACTCCAGCAGAAATGAAGAAAAAACGGGTGTTTAATTCATAATTTTCCCCTAGGATTTTTTTGAAAATGATAGTAATTAAAAGATATTTATACACTTTTTGAAGATACTTATACATTTTATTTTTTTTTAAAGATTTTATTTATTTATTTGACACAGAGAGAGAGATCATTAGCAGGCAGGCAGAGAAAGCGGGAAGCAGGCTCCCTGAGGAGCAGAGAGCCCTATGCGGGACTTGATCCCATCCAATCCTGAGCAGAAGGCAGAGGCTTAACCCACTGAACCACCCTTGAAGATCCTTATGCATTTTAAAGGGAAGATATAAACCATTAGGGCTTAGAGAAAGTTATCCTGATGACCATCAGTGTAGGGCACTCTTAGAGAAACTAAATCATAAAATGAAAATTTAGTATTTTGAATAAACTTGCCAAAGAAAGCGTGACATTTAAAGAAATGTGAAAAAAAAGTTTAATCGTGATTAAATAATTTGGACAATTGTGGAAGTCAGTTTTAATACACTGTTCTGTTTATTATGGTAAAAAATTTTATTTTAAATAAAAAAAAAAGGGCGCCTGCGTGGCTCAGTGAGTTAAGCTGCTGCCTTTGGCTCAGGTCATGATCTCAGGGTCCTGGGATCGAGTCCTGCATCGGGCTCTCTGCTCAGCAAGGAGCCTGCTTCCTCTCTCTCTCTCTCTCTCTCTTTCTCTGCCTGCCTCTCCATCTACTTGTGATCTCTCTCTGTCAAATAAATAAATAAAATCTTCAAAAAATTAATTAATTAATTAATTAATTTAAAAAAAAGTCCAACCTGGTGAATGTCTAAACCTAAACTGGCCTAAAAATGCCTGCCTCTCTCCTAATTTGTGACCCTGATTTCCATTAATTTACCATATATTTCCATCTGGATGGTCTAATAGGCAATTAAACTCATGTCTTGAAAAAAATCCACTGTATAGATATATCACATTTTGCTTATCCGTTCATCAGTTGATGGATGTTTCAGTTCTTTCTACCTTTTGGCTGTGTGAATAGGGCTTCAGTGAATTTTTCCGTACAAGTTTTTGTTTGAACGTTTGTTTTCAATTCTTTGGCATATGTACCTAAGAGTGTAATTGCTGGCTTAGAGGTTTTAGGGTCCTCACTCTATGGCAGAGGTTTTAGGGTCCTCACTCTATGGCATAATGTTCCTTGGCCAAGAAGGCAAGGAGGACCACGAGGTTCCTTTTCTCCTTTTCCTTCCCTAACCATCTAGCTTAGGGATGAAAGGAAAGGCAAGAAATTCAAGCCACTGGGGCGCCTGGGTGGCTCAGTGGGTTAAAGCCTCTGCCTTTGGCTTGGGTAATGATCCCAGGGTCTGGGATAGAGCCCCGAATCAGGCTCTCTGCTCAGCAGGGAGCCTGCTTCCCCCTCTTTCTGCCTGCCTCTCTGCCTTCTTGTGATCTCTGTCAAATAAATAAATAAAATCTTAAAAAAAAAAAAAAAAGAGGGGCGCCTGGGTGGCTCAGTGTGTTAAAGCCTCTGCCTTCAGCTCAGGTCATGATCCCAGGGTCCTGGGATCGAGCCCCACATCGGGCTCTCCGCTTGTCTGGGAGCCTGTTTCCCTTCCTCTCTCTCCGCCTGTCTCTCTGCCTACTTGTGATCTCTGTCAAATAAGTAAATAAAATTAAAAAAAAAAAATTCAAGACACCTAGCAATTTGAAAAAGGAGTAAATAAGGCTCCCCTCTTCAGGTAGGACAAGGTGGGGCAGAAAGGGCAGAGGAATTTGCTGGAAGACCTAGTAGGCACCTTCCACCCTCACTGGGACTCTGGCCTCATTCCTGGGTGATGTCCTCCTCCAGATTTTGTACATGGGAATCTTCTATGAGTTTTGCCAACTTGGCAACTTACCACCACTTTGGGATGGGAACTGGGATGAGCCAAGAAATTTGTAACATACAGAAGTCAGTTAGCAAGTCATCTGCAAATTCAAATAAAAGGCAGAGACAAAACAGAGCGGAAAGGTGTGCAAAGTAAATTTGGGTCCATTATAGCTTGATACACACATTTCATGGGGGAAGAATTTTCCAATTCCAAAGGCCTTCAGGCGGGAGGCATCCGTAGCCAGTCATTGTGGAGGAAGGGCCATCTGTTCAAGAGGGGCTAAAAGCATGCTTCCAGTCTTGTGGCCACTGGTTCCTTGGGGCCAACCATGGCCCTTCACAGGGAGTGATTAAGCAAGTGTCCACTTTGTGACTGTGTTATTAGGGGGATTTAAGCAGTAGAGAGGCTCAGGTAATTCTAACATCCCTTCCACCCTCGAAATTCTATGACTTTATGTGGTCCTGGTTCCTCAATATTTAGTCCTTTGTGTCAAGGGAAAAGGCAGTCCTGGCTCAGAGCCTCTGCCCACACACAGGCACACTCTGACCAACTGACCAGCCTTCTGCCCTCCAGAAAGGCATGCAGGACAGAGACAAATGCCTCCCTCATCTCAGACCCCAGAACTTACTCATCTCCCTTCGTCTTGGCTTTAGATGGCTCCTATCAGAGATACATGTGATGGAAATACCTCTCCAATCTGCAGACACTCAGCATTTTGATTCTGAGCGCTGTCCTGTGTGCTTCCTAGCTCAGTATCTGTGCAGACCTTCCCCTGCACCAGGTCCCAGGCCCCTGCCAGGAACTTTCCACATTTTTCAAGCCTAAGTCTGTGCTTGGCCTCACTGACAAGACAGCAGCCATCTTTAGTTTGCTTTTTGACCAGTTCCCCAATGACTGGGGTGAAGGGCCTCTTTTGAGCTCACGATGCCATGCCGTGTCCACAGCCTGAGAGCCAGTGAGGAGCGACGATCCTTGGTCTG